TATGTATTTTAGATCCTATTCATTTGTGTGAGAAATTAATAATTTAGTTCTTATTTTTCTATTTAGATAATTTGAATAATCCCAATCAAATCCATCAATTTCTAAACTATCTTATTTTTGGGTTTGGTTTTTTAATGAAGATTAATTGATATTATCAAAATAATTCATTTATTAATATATAGCAATTTAGATTTTGTTTAAGTATATTTTGGATTCAACAGCTAATTATTAGTCCATTCTTTTTCCAGATTTAAGTTACTCATATATCATTATAAATATGTATTTTTTAAATAGCAATTCTAAAGAATTTTCGCAAAAAGATTATAAATGAATTTGAGTAAATCATTTGGATACAAAAATAAGATTTATTTTTTATTTCTTTATACAAGATAATAACAATTAATAAAAATTATAAATTTAAATTTTTCAATAAATTTCACGCCATTCTATATTCATTTAATATCAGGATTATTTAGTAAAGACATTTTTTGCATGCTTTCTTAATTTTTGTAAATGGATGGTGAGTGAGTTTATAAAGATTCAATGTGATTAATGATTATTTAAATATCTCTTTAAAAAATTAATAAATAGTTTTACCAAATAAAATAATCTGTCTTGTATATCATTTATAGGATCCATATTTTTTTGACCTTGAATAAGACAAATTAAATAAAAGACATTTTCTAAATTGTTTTGAATTTACAGCTTTCATAAATTTCTTACAGTAATCTCATAGTTTTTTAGTTGTATTTTTTTCCTTTTCTTTCTTTTAGCCTAGATTAATATCATCTATTCATATTCAATATGGAAAATATGAACATTCTTGAAATTTTCATAATTTATTTCTTCACACACTAATTCTAATAGATTTAAAATTAATATAATGAATAAGAATTAAGATAATTGAGTTCTTTGTATAGTTCAATAATTAAGTTGCTAAAATTTTAACTAACTCATAAAATCTTTGAGGGTTAGATATTAAAATGATCTAATTTATCAAAAAAGGATTAGATTGTTCAATGAGCATCATAAAAATTTGTAAAAATCGATTACAAATAATTTTCCCCAATTTTAATATTATAACTTCAACTAGCTTTAAGGAAAAATAATCGAATAGCTTGATATAAAAGTGAAAAATAATTTTTATACAATTAAAGGATTAAGGCAGTAAAAAATATTGCAGAATAAAAATAAAAATTTCGCCGATTATTTAACTTAACCAAAATTTTAAACAATAATAATATGATAAATTCTCTCTTTTTTTGTAGATTTGAACTTCATGATTTAATAAATTATGTAACAAAAAAATACCCAATTAAATTTAGATAAATTATTAGTTACATCAAATTTTTATTGCAAAAATTTAAAGTAATCACTATTATTGAATCAATCAAACTTAATACTTAATGAATGAATCCTTTGAAAACCATAAAGCGAATAAATTGATCCATAGAACATCTAAAAATTTAATTATAGCATAGTTTTCTTTTTTTTTGATATTTTCTATATTTTGATTAGTCTGCTTTTATTTTATAATTTTTTCTGACTCATGATGATAAATAAAATGATTTGTAGCAATTTAGAAATCGTATAAAATAATGAAAAACTCACGAGCAAGTTTCTTATATAAAAAATAGAAGCCTATTGTTTAGAAATGCAGTAATGCATTGAAGTATATTTCATTAATTAAAATATTTAGTCCTTCTTCATTAGAATTGATAATTTTCTTGATTAAATAATTAATTACTCTTTCAATTCCTTTAATTAAAATTTGGAATAATCATAATACGCAATGCTTAATTAATAATTTATTTTATTTCCCTGTATTGCATCAATTTATATTCTTTTTAATTGTATCTGTTTTAGTTTTTTTAGGACAAATTTAATAGCTTTCAAAAAATTTTACTAATCAATCGTCAGCTTTTTGTACTTATCAACTGCTTCCTTGAAATTGCTGAAAGCTATGAAGTCATTTAGGTACTTCTAATATGTTGAATTTGGATTTCCTTTCATCCTCCCTTCAGAATTGTTATTATTATTATTATTTTTATATAGATTAAAGTAAGTCTGTTTGAAGCCTTCATGCGTATCTTTAGTTTCACTCAACCCTTGCTCTTGTCTGTGAGGCCAGATGGATTTATGATTGAAAGAATATATACTGCCTTTAATATTAATTAGCATGCATTTTCTTAATAATGTTTAGTATTCAAAATCATCTTAATTATCACTGAAATATGAATCTTCCCAAGAGACTTCAAAATTTCTCTCTTCTTTAGCTGATTGAATAAATAATTTTCCTTTTTAGTTATAATTAACTTAATAAGTTAACGTTTTGACATATCTATAGCCAAAAATATTGAAAAATATTGAAAAATCTTGTAAATCTAATAAAAAATTTTATTGTTTGATATTTTTTCCTAAATCTTTAACATTTGTAATTGTTAATTGTGATAGAAGTCTAAAAATATTTCATAGAAATCAAAAGCAGTAAATTAATTTATCCTAAATCCTGAGACAATAAAGTTAGCATCATATCTTACTTTAAAGTATTTTTTTGAAAAAATACTAACTTAATTTATATATTCTAACGAATTAGCTATAGTAAATGATTCAAAAATGTTTTAATTATCTAAATCTTCTAAAATTTAAGTAAATTATTCCATAATTTAGAGCTCTTAATTCTACAAGTTAAATCTTTTTGTCAAAATCTTCATTTATTTGCTTTTATAATAATTGATCAATTTATTCCTCTGATTTTTTAGCTTCTGTTTTCAGAATCATATAATTCTTTTAAGTAGATCTCTTATTAAGTTAGGTTTTGAGAAAAATTATGAAATGTTTGGTAAAACATATACAATTATTCCATCATAAATAGAGTTGTCAATAAATGATTTATATTCACATTATTAATTACTTAAAGAATTTTTACTCTCCCCACAATTAAAGAAGTTCCTTTTTTAAAGATACCATCTAATTTGATTTTATAAAAGTAATAAACTATACTACTTAAATTTATTTTATGTATCAACATCTTAACTTGAAAATAAAACTTCAGAATTTTATTATAATAATACCATCGAATTAATTATATTTTCTAATTGATTCCATATCAACTTAAATTACTCTAATGAAAAGTTTTATCCTTTCAATTATTTGAGAAATTAATAAAACTTTTTAATTGTCCTCTTCACACTTATTTCAACATATTGTTTAATATATTAAGAACTCTACTCATAACTAAAAGGTAATATTTCAATTTCTTTAAGGGTATCTATATTCTAACCATAAAACCACGTTTAATATCCAATAGAATTTAAATTTCTTCTCTTGTAGTAATAATCTCTTTTACTGTTTATCCTGATGCTTAGAGATTAAGATCTTAAGCCATTCTATTAGTTTGATAGAGCAATACAATCAAATTTCATCTCATCATAGCTTTCAAGTATTAACACTATCTTAAGTTTTACATTTATGACAGCATCTTTAAATTCTCTTATTTAAATATTATCAATGTTGTAATTTTCAGATTTAAGAGCCTAATCAATTAAATTGTGATGAGGATCTTTTAACGAAGGAAGTGATACATAAATTTGAATCCAATTCGGTGAAATCGTATAATCTATATTAATTCTTCAATATTACGTGATGCTCTACTTTTTCCTGAGCCTGCTTTTCCTTTAATTAATATTAAATCTTTTTTCTTTCCTTAATCACTCCATAAAAATTCATTTACTTTTCCATCATAATTATCATATAAATCTTTAATTAAGAATGTAATAAATTCTCCTTGACTATTTGTTTTTCTATTTCCTGAGATAGGATCATAATCTTGAGTTTTAACCTATATATGTACTTAATCTAACTCATTTTCATGCTTTTATTTTAAAACTTTTATTTTCGCATGTTTAATAATTCCAAGATATTCTTCCATCCTAATCTTCTTATGTCATCTTCAACCCCTTTATACTAATTAGCACTTTATCTATGGAAGATTTAATATTTTTCAAATCTTTGCTGATTTCTCTTAAAAAAATTCAACTAATATCTAATCTTTTTGACATATCTGTTATATTATCCAAATATATTTCAAAATTATCATAAGCTTGTTATAATTATATTTTCATTTCTTCTTAATTATCACTAAGAAGCACCTAAGTTTCAAGTTCCTCTATTTATTTTAATCTTGTTTGCATTTTTACTTTTAATCTAATTGATAAATTTTGTAAATCTTAGAAAATAACTTTTTCTGCATCATAATCATTTCATCATTTTGTAAGTAGATTTCGAACACTTGGATGCTTTTCAATAATCCAGATTTATTGTAATTATTTTTCACAAAACTCTTAAATGGTTTATTCTTAGATAATTGATTGCATTTTAATTAAATTAAATAAAAGTAATTCCCTCACTTTATAAGATGAATTTTCAAATATATCAATTATTCCTTTTTCTTAATTAAATCTATTGCCCTTTTTTAATTCTATAATAATATTTTATAATATTATCAGGTTTTTCATCCTACTGCTTTATTTCCTAATCATCTATACTAAGTGTATTAAAGCTAAGTATTTATATCATGACAGGTATTTAAGGTATTTTAGGTTATTTTGGAAGTTTTGACAAAAATTCTTCTCAAAAATAATTTATTCCTTATTATAAATGGGTTAAAAAAGTTATAATGTTAATTGTTATAAATCAATTATTACTTAATTTAGGCTTTATGAATATGTACCTTTAAACTTATTAAAAAACTATAATATTGTTTCTTAATTTTTGGAGAGATTATTATTAAGATTTTATTTGAATATTAATTTTAACTTTTATGAAATAATTATTAATTATCTAATATCTTCGTTGAACTTTCACAATCAAATAAATGGTTTTATCTTAATTTCATTAATGATTTTTCTAAGTTCATTTATTAAATATTCTTTACTTATGACGAAACCATATCTGTTTATATATTTGAATTCATCTCCAAAAGATGTTCATCTAATAATTTGATAATATCCTATTAGATAATTTTTTTATCTCACTAAACTAAACCAATAAGTTATAATTTAGTTAGAATTTCAGACAATAAAACTTTATGATGGAATTTGATTTTATCAAGCCAATCTTTGTTTTTTATTTCATTTATTTCCTTACTTATAAGATTAGATATGCAAATTAAAATCAGCTAATTCATCTTTTTAAAATTCTATATTTTATTACTTATTAAATAAAACTTCTCTTTCTTATCAATAATTATTTTTTTATGTATTCATTTATATTAGTTTAATTATATATTTATATTTCATTTTCGATAGTGCTTAAATTTGCTAACATTCCTTAAAATTTTGAGGACATCTATAATAATTTCCCATGATGAAGCATTTTTAATCCTTTATAAATATTTAAGTTAGATTATATCATAATAAGAATTTTTTGAACATCAGACACTTGTTCTATTTATAGTTTTTCCTTAAACATATTTTAATAATATTAATGAATTTCCTGAATCAATTTTAATATCAATTATGGATTGTAAAGCCTAATTATTTAAGAAGCTAAGCTAAATTAAGATATAGATACTTTAATAACAATTTTAAATTCTTTCTGCTCTAAAATCTTTAAGAAGGTTCTCTTTATCGAAGAAACTTATATCAGAAATTTATCTAGATTATTATTATTACTTGTAAAAATTAAACTATTTTAGTTTAATTAAGGTTCAAGCAGTTTTTCAAATTCAAGACTTCTCTCTATCAATTCTTGATGAGAAATAGTTGTATAGTGACAAATTTATATCCAAAATCATGATATTCAATACATGTTAATATTTATTACTTTAATATTTTTAGTTATTCTCCTTAATTTTATTGATGTCCCTGTAAAATTATTTAGAATATCTAATTTACTTAAAGCTCGTTATTTACTAATTAATTTATCTCATTTATTAAACACAGCAAAATTAAGTTTTACTTTTTGATTTGATTCATAAAAAACATTATTTCTTATCTAATTATATTAATTTCTATTGGTTTATCAGTTTGTAAATAGGAATAATGTTAACTCAATTATTATTTTACGACTTCAAAATTATTTAATAATTCCTCCTTTTTAGACCTTAATTATTTAATTAAAGCATTTATTAATTCAATGTTCGATTACTTTGTAATTAGTTATATCAATATATCTTCGTAATTTAATTAATCAGCTGAAAAGTCATTAAAATTAAAACTGATATAATTGGGCATTAATAAAAACTATTTGAACTTTGTATGTCAATCATAATTTTAATATACTCCTAGAATAATTTTAATGTTGCAAACTTTTTAAATATAAAATTTTAGTTTACAAATATTTTCAGCCTACCTGCTTATTTATTATAAGGCAATTAAATTACTTGATTAGAAGTGATTAATTAATTCCAAGAATCTTGAACTGAAGTACCTGATTATAATGTTTATAATAATTAATCTTTATAAACAATTGGTCTATAACACATTAAATCTGATATCATATTTACCCAACAATAATGTATTATCCAATCCTTAGATTGTTTAATGTATTTTGAGTATCCATCTGTAATTTGTTTTATAATATTCTAAATGGACTAGCCTAATTTCAACTGATTTAATATGGACCATTTCAAATTTTCGAAATAATAATAGATTTCCAATATTTGAAGTGGGTTTTGAATTTATTTATCATATAAATTCAAAAGTAAGAATTTTCCTCCTTCTACAACAGAAGATATTACTTCATCGCTGGGTTTTAATTAGGTGAAAGCAAACCGCACATAATAGATATAACTAACTCCTTTCCTTTTTAAGAGTTTGTCCTACAATGAGCTACCCAGGTTTTAATCATTTATAGTTCGAATTCCACCCAATTAAGCAAAATATTGATTGCTTCTACTTATGTTAGCGATTCTATTTCTTAGATATATTCTAAATATTTCTTTTTTTAATCTTCCTACATATATCTATCAACATTCTTTAATTAATATGAAAATATTATTCTAAATAAATCATTACAAATTTAGAGCAATGAATAAAATAGAAAACCTGAAAGTCTAATATATGTAAGTAGTTATTTCATTAATTATTCTACAATTTTTTCTATAAGTTTAATAATTTGTTGTATTCAAAGACTCCTCATTACGCAGAATTTGAAATTTCTCTTTGTTATTGTAAAACCACTAAAATGCAGTAAGTACTTCATCTTAATTCATTTTATCTTGAAAACTTAAAGATTTTTCAACAATTATGTTAGTAAATGTTTATAATTTAGTGGCAAAATTTTCTTCATATTATTAATTTCTATACCTGGAATCACTATAAACCTATTTTGTTCCACAGCATCCACAACCTCTTATTTGGATGGAAGATACCTAGCTTAGATCATTTGACTGAGTATTGGGCATACTAATAACTCTGTAATCTTTAGCAATTACATTATTTCTTTTAACTCTTATATACATATTTAGTTGCAATAATTGTTTATTTTATCATAAATTATAATATAAATATAATTTCCAATTTGTATTTGTTTAATATGTTACATATGATAGATTATATTTAAACTAAAATTGCTTGAAACTTTTAATAATTGCATATAAAAATTATTTATTTTTAAGGAATTTACTAAAATAAAAATCAATCAAAAATTTACAAAAAATATGTTTATAAATAACATTCATTTAAATTATTTCTTTTTTATTGACTAAATTCTTTTAAAAATATTAAAAGAAACTAATGATTCTTTAAATAATAGAAAATTGACAGGCACATAAAATCTAAATGTCAAAATATATCTCTAATATCTAAGAGAAATATTATTTTTCAATCCTTCAAAAAATTGAGGATGGAATGGTCAAATCCAAGATGAATAATGCTTAATTTAGATTTTTGATTGATAATGATCTTAAAAGAGAATGTTGTTATTTAATTTTTTTTTTTAATTAAAAAAATAATAATGGGGGGATATGATAAAATAATATGGAACATGAATTAAAATAATATTATAGTATTTTAGTTGGCTGAAATCTATTTATAAGAATAGAAAAAGCTTAATTTCCAAAATTTCCAAATTTTTCATATCTCAGTGTATAAAAAATTGAATTAAAGCATTCAATAATTTTTTTTTCATTCATACGATTAGCCACTTTTAGTTAGGTTCTTCGGTTATAAAGTTATTATTTTCTTAATAAAGACGAAAAAAAAGGTCATTTGATTATTTAATTAAATAAATATTATCTATACATAAATTTAGATAAACAATTATTTATTTTTTAGATTGAGTATTAATGAATTAGGTTGAATAAAAAAATTAATGTATCCAATAGTATTTTTGTTGGCAACCAAATTTAAAACTTGGATAATTAGAAATATTGTGAACAATTATACAATGATTACTAGTTCAAGCTTTTGATCATATATCTGTAGCTTTGGAAATATTGTATAAAATTAATGATAATGATGTAACAATCCTAACAAGTGGTTTATATGCTTATTAACTTGTAAAACATACAAAATAAAACATAATCATATTTTGTGGAAGAAAATCTTAATGTCAGATTCGTTTTAATCTGCTCATGAAAATGCTATCATTAGTATGGATTTATCAGATATTCAAAACGAATTTATCAAATTATTATCGCCGCCATAATGACAAGCAAGTGAATATCACCTTTAAAAAGATCATGAGAGTAACTAATTTCTATGATTAAGACTTTTTTTTTCGAATAAATTTTTCGAGATTTCAATTTATCAAAAGATGACGGAACAGCATTATTTTGGAATATAAATAAAATTAATTAAACTGTTATAGAATCATTAGCACCTCTTGATCTCAAGAAATTGCACGAAATTTTTCTTCTTTTTGTAATAATGGAATACTTTACGAAATTAAATTGGATGAAATGTTCCTCATCCAGGTTTTGAGTTACAATAATATCATTCCCGTAATGAAAATGAAAAAGTAGTACTATTCCCATAGTTTGAATTTATCGTAAACGAAATAAGATTCACTTAAATTTAAGACCAGTAAATCTATTGAATCAAATAAGAAAAGAAAAACTAAGCTTTTTGCACTTGATCGATGTTGAGAAGGATGTATTGAGACTCAATAATTGAGGAGAAGACAAAGCTTAAAATAGTAACGTAGGTAAATTTTTAAAGAAAAAGAATTTTTTAATTGATAACATTTCAAAATATGACTAAGAAAATGATTTGAAAAACAGTTGCTTCAAGAATTAAAAATGAATTGCCAAATGTGTTTATATAAAATGAAATTAATTAATTAAGGTATTCATACATTCAAACTATGATGTTTTAATTCATATTAAAAATCTTACTAGGACCTACAATTAAGTCGAAAAATTTGAATATTAAAACTAATCAGTTAAAATTTTTAATAATTGTTTGAGGAACATACTGATAATGTTATGTAATCTTTTAGACAAAAATTTGCACATTGATATTGAAAGGAGTTATGAATATTGAATAGGAAAAAGAATATTTTTAAAGTCTTAATAATTTTTTATGAAACATACTTAGAATTCAAAAATAAATAAATATGAATACTTAAAATATTGAAGGCACTTATTTCTAAAATAACCTGTTTATTAAAGTAATATAAGAGGATTGTCTTTTTAATAACTTACATCTCTTTAGGATGATAATCAACTGATAATGCATCATCATCCAAATAGTAAAAATGAGTTGACGTTTACAAAAAAAATTGAAAATTTATTGCATGATGTTATTAATTTTAAATTTTATTTGTCTCTGCTTGATTACAAATATTTATTAATATTTTTATGAATGGTCAATAATAATTTGAAAATGACCATTCATTAATCATTCATTTAGATCGGTAACAAGTAAAGTAACTCTGAATTTATGAATGAATAATTGAATTATTTCACTAAATCATATTGTTTAATCTTTTCTATTAAATTTACTAAAATTATTAAATGAAAAAATGTTTAATATTTATTTATTCAAATGTAATCCATTACAAATTTTAGAAATAATCAATAATAACTATATTAAATATAATATTAAACCTATAATTTGATGAAATTTAATGAGATTGTTAAATTTCAATCATATAACAAAAAGTAAATAGAAAAATAAATTTCTAAGGATTATTGTCTATTCTATGAATATTCATTAAAAATGAATAAAGTATTATATAAATATAATCAAATAAGTCATTTCTGATGCAATCATTGATATTAAGTATCTATTTTTATGGATATTTTTATAATAGCAAAGATCTTTAGAAATAAACATACCAAATGAAAATACTATGTTTTACGCTTTGTTGTAATTTAAATTATATATAATATAAAAGATGAAAAGGAGAATTATAATTTTCCATTTCTTGATCACTATAATTACAATAATGTATAAAACATTTAATATGTATTTTCTTTAGAAAGAAATTAAAAAGGTTGATTAAAAAAATAAATCCATAAATTAAATGAATATTCCTTCTCTTGCCATAATTTTTATAACTAATGATAAAGTATAATTTATAATTTCTTTTTTAATTTTTTGTCAATTTTAAGAGATATTTCTGTCTCCAACATAAATCTTTAGATTTGAAGGAATTAATATTGTTCTTGTTTAATTAAATTATATAATTGTAAATGTAAGAGATGTTTATCATTTATGGTAATTATATGAATTTATTATGGCATAGATTTCATTTATAAAATCCTCTTTACATTTCCGATAATATTTGCTAAAATTGAGTTAAGCCTTAAGGAGCATAGTCTTACACTCACTTTTTGGAATTATGATCAAAATTTAGTATTTTTTATTCTAGTAATTTATTTATTTATATTCTGTTAAGGAGAGACATAATTTTACAAAATTCAAATCATTCAAACTTCTTTTAAATATGTTTCACATTGTCAATCAATCTTTCTAGTCTTCATTTTTCCTTTTTAGAGATCCTTTTGACAAATATCTTTTGATAAAAATCATCTATATTCTAGTTGAGATGATTTTTTATTAGATGTTCTCCATTTGCATAAGTGTTGTGAGCATTGCATATTTTATAGGAATTTAAAAATAACATATTTATATTATTTGGTAGATATTTTTTGTTTTTACATTTAATAAATAAATCTATGATCTTATTAGATGTGATTTTCGACAATAATAATCTTGATTTTATTGATCTATATCTCATTTACTGAAATTAATTCTTGCTGCCCTTGAATTTACATTATTTCATAGCTTCTTCACTATAATTCAATATAGAGTTCACAAATAATTGCCAGATAGTCATTTTTTAATAAGATGTCATAAAATAACAAATCCATTTTAGCTTTTTAGTCAGTGCTTGTATTTTCTCTTACATACTATTAAAATGATTTTTTAATTAACCGTTACTTTTTATATTTATTCTTAAATAAGTATATTCATTTTATAAAGGATACCCTGCAATTTCTTTGCCATTAAGTTTTGAGTGATTTTTAATTAATATGATGGCTGATTTCTTTTAGTTAATATTGAGATTCCAATCTAGGCGAACTTTTTCTAATGTTCTGAGAAACAATGAAATATTTTTATTCTAGTAATTTAACTCTTTTTTTCTAAAGATGAACCATTTTCATAAAAGCTTTTAGTATCCAAGGTAGAATTACAGTGAAATTTAAAAACACAAAATATTTTGGGTGATAACTTCAAAAATTTACTTTAATTTATGAAGTATTAAATAATATTTCGATACTAAGCTGATTGTTGGATTGTTATTACTTTTCAAGTAAGTTAAATCAAATTTCAGCAATCAAAGAATTCTGTAAATTTTCTTTACTTATTGATGTAAATTATTTTAAATAATCATAAAAAATTTTGAATGTTTTATTTTTAATAAGAATGTTAATGTA